CTCTGTGAGTTCGAAGCTGGGCTGGACCGAGAGCCTCCAAAACAGAGAAGCCCTGTCTCGTAAAACCAAAAAAAAAAAAAAAAAAGATGATATGGGGTAATATAAGGTGGTACATAGTTGCTAGGCAGTGGTGGAGCACGCCTTTAATTCCAGCACTCAGGAGACAGAGGCAGACGGATCTCTGTGAGTTTGAGATCAGTCAGGTCTACAAGAGCTAGTTCCAGGACAACCTCCAAAGCCACAGAGAAACCTGTCTGGAAAACAAAAGCAAAAAGTGGCACATAGTAAAGGCTCACTAAATATTAACTCATGTGCAAGGTCCTGGGCTCAATGCAAGTACCATGGAGAGGAAGTAGAAGAAGCCATGGATGGGACTCAGGGGCTCTTCTCACCTACTTCCATTGTCCTGGTCCAGAGCACAGCATCTTTCACCTGGACATCTTTGATCTGTTTTGGTCCATCTTCTGTCATTCTTGTCCCTTGCATGGTCCATACTGAAAGCCCTGTGCCTTTTATACAACTCTTTTCCTGGGTCTACAAAGATGGCTCAGCAGTTAAGAGCACTGGCTGCTTTCCCCAGAAGACCTGGGTTCCATTACCAGCAACCACATGGCAGCTCACAACTGTCTGTAACTCCAGTTCCAGGGAATCTGACAACATCACACAGACACTAATGCAGGCAAAACACCAATGCACATTTTTAAAAAGATCCTTTTCTTTTCTTTTAAAAATATGTGTGCTAGTTTGTCTGTATGTGCGCCACATACATGTAGATGTTGTAGATGCCCTGGAGGCCAAAAGAGGATGTAAGATTCCTGTAACTTCTGTTATTGGCGATTGTAAGCTGCCTAATATAGGCTCTGGAAACAAACCTCTGTCTTATGCAAGAGTAGCAAGTGCTCTTAACCACTGAGCCATCTCTCCAGCCCCTATCTAGTGTGTTTTCTAAAATACACATGGTCATTTCACTTCAATGCTGTTTAAATCCTTTCCTGCCTTTCCAATGGTTTAAGGTACAAACTATGTCCCTTGACATAAAGACCACTGGTGACCTGGCCACTGATCACCATTCTGAGCTCATGTATCATCACCTGCCTGGACATACTGCATTTAAACAGTATCACGCACGCACCTTGTAAGAAACAAAACTGCCAGCTGTGGTAACTCACACCTGGATTCCAAGCACTTAGGTCTTAAGTCTTAGAAGGAAGCTACAGGCTTTCAATTTCCTCAACTATATGTATAGTGAGTTGGAGGGCATTTGGGGCTTTATGAAGCCCTTTCCAAAAAAACACACACAAAAAAAAACCCACAAAAAAACAAACAAAAAATGAAAAAGCAAATTAAACTTCATCAGTGATGGTGGCATATACCTGGAATCCTGGCACTCAGATACTCGAGGCAGGAGAGTCGTAAGTTTGAGACCAGGCTGGTCCTCATACTGAGAGCTTGTCTCAAAATAACTAACTTGATAAACAAACAAACAAATAGAACTTAAAACAAAAGAAGAAATCTATCAAGTGTGGTGCATCTGTAATCTCAGCACTTGCAAGGTGAAGGCAGGACTGCCATGAGTTTGAGAGCAGCCTGGGCTACATCACATGTTTGAGGCAAACCTGGGCTCTCAAGCTGGACACACACATGAAGAATTCTTTCATTGTTTCTTCTTTCCTCCTTCTCCTCCTCCTCTCTCCCTCCCTTCCTCCCTTCCTCCTTTCTTTCTTACACAGGTATCATAAAGCCTACTCTGGCTTCAAACTTACTCTGTAACCTAAGCTGGCCTCGAACTCAAGGCACTTCCCCTATTTCAGATCTTTGAATGCTAGGAACCTCTGTGTAAACCACCTCAGCAAGCTCTAACATTCTATTCCTTTCTTTTATCCTTTCTTCCTTTTTAAAAATTTAAAAATATTGGTCTAGGGCCGGGCAGTGGTGGCGCACGCCTTTAATCCCAGCACTCGGGAGGCAGAGGCAGGTGGATCTCTGTGAGTTTGAGGCCGGGCTGGACCGATAGCCTCCAAAACAATACAGAGAAACCCTGTCTCATAAAAACAACAACAACAACAAAAATATTGGTCTAAGCAGTGGTGGGCATGCCTTTAATCCCAACACATTGGAGGCAGAGGCAGGCAGATCTCTGGGAGTTTGAGGCCAGCCTGGTCTACAGAGGGAGTTCCAGGACAGGCACCAAATTTGCAGAGAAGCCCTGTCTCAAAAAAAAAAAAGTATTGGTCTATAGGAATGGGAAATAGACACGATTTCCTGAAACCTTCATCCAGTAACTGATGGAAGCAGATGCAGGGATTCACAGCTACCAACTGGACCAAGCTCCTGAAGTCTAGTCAAAGAGAAGGAGGAGTGATAATATGAGCAAAGGGGTCAAGACTATGATGGGGAAACCCATAGAAACAGCTCACGGAGCTCACTGACTCTGGACTGACAACTGGGAAACTGTATAGGACTAAACTAGGCCCCCTGGATGCCCGTGATGATGGGAGGCCTGGGCAATTCGTGGGGCCACTGGCAGTGGGACCAGGCGCTATCCCTAAAGAAAGAACTGGCTTTTCGGAGCCCATTTCCTATGGAGCGATATCTTGCTCAGCCTAGATGGGAGGGAGGGGGGGCTGGTTCTGCCTCAATGTGGTGATGGGACAGAATTGGGTGACTCCTCATGGGAGACTCTCTTAGAGTAGCAGATGAGGGGGTGAGATGAAGGGAGGGTGGGAGGGAGTGGGAGGAAGGGAGGGAGGCAGAACTGGGCTTATTATGTAAAAAAAATAGAGAGTATTGGCCTAGCTGGGTGGTGGTGATTTTTCTCCATCCACCTTGAGGCAGGGTCTCTCGTTTGCCATCATGGTGAGGAATCCAGGCAAAATGGCCTGAGAAGTTTGGGGAGGGAGGGGTGGAATTCTGCTGTCCCTTCTACCCATGTCTACACAGGAGGGCTAGGATCACAGACCTACACCAAACCAGGGCATCCAGTTTTTATTTGGGTTCTGGAGATCCACACTCAAGTCACCAAGCTCAGGTCCTCCGGAAGCGCAGCAACGAGCGCTCTCAGCCACTGACTGAGCCATCTCTCCAGCCCAAGAAGTCTTACAGATCCCATGAAGGGCAATATTGACAGACTTTTTATTTATTTACTTATTTGAACATAATCTCACTAGGTAGCCTGCCTGGCCTCGAACCTGCTGCCTCTGCCTCCCTAGCATTGGGATTAAAGGTTTGCAACTCCAGGTCCGTTTGATGATCAGACTTTTGAAGAACATCCAATCTGACCATCATACACAGACAAGGAGTTAAGAGCCTGAGAAGGGAGCCGGGCGTTGGTGGCGCACACCTTTAATCCCAGCACTCGGGAGGCAGAGGCAGGCAGATCTCTGTGAGTTCGAGGCTAGCCTGGTCTACAGAGTGAGTTCCAGGACAGCCTCCAAAACAATACAGAGAAACCCTGTCTCAAAAAAAAAAAAAAAAAAAAAAAAAGAGCCTGAGAAGGAAGCACCTCATTCCAGGTCAGAGCCAGTGGGGGTAGAGACCAGGCCAGCATCCCACCTGACCGAGGTAAGAGTTGGTACGGATAGCAATGGTAATGGCGTTGGTCACCAGCAGCAAGGCCAACAGCAGCTGGAAGGCGGGATGTCGAAGCAACTGCTTGACGTACATGGTGGTGATGAACTCCTCAATGTCCCAGGCATCCTGGGAAGGGATGGAGACCTTCCTTCAGGCAGGTGTCACCACAGGCAGCCTCTACCTGGACTATTTACTCCCTATTCCCTGAGAATGGGAGTACACCTGGGGGTCTGCCCTAGGGGGTGATGATGTTGCCTGACTTCATGAAATGTTAGTTTCAGTAAAGAAGTCACAACAAATGATCATCAAAAGAGGGTGACTACGGGGGACCTTTGGGGTCTTGGGGTATCTGCTGGTGAGTAGCTACCACAATAAAAGGGTTCTTGTGAAGGGTCACTTCCATGGATGCTAGCTCCTAAATGTCCTCTGTGAGGACATTTAAAGGACAGGGGGCTGCAGGAGGGAACTCTGGGGTGGGGGTCGCCTGGGTCACCTCCACGCCTGTCCCCATCTTCTTTGTCCCCATCTTACCTTCTTATCTGTGATGTGCCTGCGGTTGATGAGCACTTGCTCCTCGTGCCGGCCCAGGAGCTCATAGGCGTTTTTCTACAGGGAGAGGAGCCGGCCTTCAGTGCAGTCACTGCCCCTGCCCAACCCCGGATGCCAGCTATGTGGCAGCACCAGGCAGGGGCTCCCTACCGTTGTGTTCGCCTGTTGGGCAGTTCCGGTTTCCGGCCGCTGCTGCCACCAGTATTGGTTTTCAGTCATCTTGGCTCTGTCCCCTTCTCTTCAAAGAAGCTTTGCTGCAGGCAGGCTCTGTCTCCCTTGTGGTGAGATCACAGAGGCTGCTGCTGGCCACAGCCTTCTGCATTCCACGGAGACATTCCAACTTGGTTTAAAAAAAAAAAAAGCTCCCACGTTCCCACTCAATACTTCACAGGGGAACCAGGTATTCAGCCACCAGCTTCAGGGTGCGGTCAGAGGTTAGAGGCTGGCGGGACTAGGTCTGGACTCCCACGCCATCTGAATACAGTGAATAGAGGTTCCCCTTCTTATTCAGGCACTAGAGGTGAGACTGGATGGAGGGGAAGACATGCCCAGGCCTTTGGCTGCCCGTCCCACAGCCCTTCCAGAAAGGTCAATTTTCTCATCTACTAAGTGAGTGTGCCTCCTTGGGGCTAGGACAGGGGAGCAGGTCTGACCTCCCAGGACTGAGGAGAGACTGGCGGAAGGATGCATGACCACAGAGGCCAGCACCCTGGCACAGGAGTCCTGAGTGTGTACCTCAGGGTAATGAGCTACACAGTGAGCTTGTCATCCACCCTGCGAGAGAAGTGATCTCTGTAGCCTGACAGTTCTTTACCCCTGTGTCGTGGCGGTGGCGGTGGTGGCATGTGCAGATTCCCAATTCTAAAGCAAAGACACATGGGTTCACTTTGGAGAAATCAACTTTATTTGGTGGAAAAGCATCTCTCATGTAAAATAAACATCCATCTAGACCTGGTCTGGGAAAGCGTTTTGAAGGACCCAGGGAGACAGGTATGCCCCAGATCTGAGGATAGGTTAGGGGAGATCTATATCACAGAGGAGGGCCACTTTCCTTCCACTCCAGTGGACAGGAGCAGACTGTGGAATGGGATCAGTTTGGAGTAAAGCCAAGGACACGCACTTCTAACCCCTCACACAGACCCCTTGCGCATGCTGTCTTAGACATGTCAGAGTCTGGGGAGGAAGCAGTCCTCAGGGTCAGAGGTCAGGAACCAGACACTAGCCAGGGTCAGAGGTCAGGAGGTTGGCGGCTGCTCTCTGGGGTCAATGGAAAAACCTGGGAGGGCTCCTCAGGGTCAGAAGGCAGGGGCTGTGGAGACTGACTCCTGGAGTCAGAGGTTGGGACTGGGGAGTTGTTGGGGGCCCGTATCCCTCCCCAGGTGCTCAGGCCCTCTGAGTACAGCTCCTGGTTCTGTTCCTTCCACCGGCGGAACTTTGCTCCGGTGAGCTCAGGGTCACCCAACACTTCTTCCAGGGCCTGCAGTTCCTGCAGCTTTGCCTGAGGTGAGAGTAGGGGTCACAGCTCTATGGTCACCCAAGGCAGGACAGGACCCAGAACTAACTCTTAACGCCCTGTGCCCAGCACCAGGATACCCTGGTCCAAGAGTCGGGTGAGTATCTGATCTCTGCCCACAGAACCTTCTAGAACTTGGCTCAGGACACAGTTGAGCCTCCAGTGGAATATGGAGACCAGAACTGGTCCTCGGAATCAGAAAGCCAGGGCTAGAGTCTTCAGTCTAGAGCTCGCAGTAGAGTTGGGAGCCTCATCTTCCCCATGCCCGGTGCTCCCAGCTCACCTTGAGCGTGCTCTGTAGTGTCCGCACACGGTGTACTCGCTCATTGAGATGAGGGTCGCGGTTGCGACGCATGAAAGAGCTCCGCCACTGCTCATGGGTCAGGGGCTGTGGCTGCCCCAGCAGGGACACACCACCCCGCCTCAGCCCCTGCACCATCCCTTCCAGCACCCTGTCACTGCTATCTGTGGGAGTAGGAAGCAGGTTGAGAACACACAAACATGATCAGGCCACCTCTGCAGCCCAGTGCTCTGCTCCCAGGGTAGCACCTGCTGAAGAGCCAATGGACGTCCTCGGACTCTGCAAGGGTGAAGCCATGGGTGATGTGTCACTCCAAGTTGGCGCTGGGCCAGGCTGTGTCAAGGCAGAAGGAGAGGATTAGCCGCAGCCCCCCATGTCCTGCTATCCAGCCCCTACCTTATCTGAAGCGACTCTACTCACTGAAGCTGAGCGGGACCCGGCCTCCTCATCGGGGTCTTCCGCTTCTGTCTCACTGTAGCAATCTAGGGTGAGGAGTTGGAGAACCACTGAGTGGCTTTGGAGAGGCCAGGAAGAGGGCCAGGGGATTTGAGTTCCATCCAGCACCCGGCCTGGGAAAGGCAGGAACTCAGTGACGGCTGGGCCCCTTCTTCCACTCTGTGACACACTCACCTTCCTTTCTGGCAGAGGGCGCCCGGCCTGGAGTCTGGTACTTGGAAATGCAGGTAATGAGATGACGTACCCACCTGGAGGGGAGCATGTGGGTCACAAGGCTTCCGTTCACTCCAGCCCACTTACATCTCAGCTTTTCACCCTCTACCTACATCTCCTTTTTCTTTTTCCCCTGAACCTTTTTGTATGGTGCTAGAGCCTGAGTGTAAGGAAGTGTTCTACACTGAGCTATACCCTCTGACCTCCTTCCTGTTTTTTGAGACAGTGTCCTACTCCATTGCTCTGGTTGACCTGAAACTCACAATGTAGCCCAGGCTGTTCTTTTTTTGGGAGGTTTTTACGAGACAGGGTTTCTCTGTATTGTTTTGGAGGCTGTAGGACCAGCCCGGCCTCGAACTCACAGAGATCTGCCTGCCTCCCAAGTGCTGGGATTAAAGGCGTGCGCCACCACCTCCCGGCCAGCCCAGGCTGTTCTTATCCTTGCAATCTTCCTGCCTTTGCTTCCTAAGTGTTGGAATTAGAGGGTTGAGTCACCATGTCCCAGATCCACAGATCTGACCTTCAGAGAGCACCTGAGGTAGGAATTCTCCTTTGTCCATTCTGAAGATGATGAAACTGCGGCTTTCCCAGGACTGGGGTTTGAGTCCCCTGAGCCCAGCTCTTAAGCACAAGGAGGCTGGGGACTACGTGGGAGCAGGAAGAGGGAGTGACACTCACATGCTCAGATCAGACAGGGTCTCAGCAGCAAAGACGAAGGGCTTATACACGTCATGGGTCAGCTGGAACACACTGCCAGCAGGCAGAAAGAAGTCACAGTCCCCTCTGGGCAACCCCATCCAGAACCCAGAGACAGGCTAGGTCAGGAATCCCCACCACCTGCAACATGTCCACCCCACCCCTCCCTCCCTCTCTCTTTTTTCTCCCCATCCCATCCCATTCCAATACTTAACTATTTTTTTCTTCTGGTCATGTCCACTCTCCAGACTGTAGTTCGAGAGGTTGATAAGCCCTTCGGCCTTTTCATCCTAGGGGAATCACAGCGCGAGGGTCAACACAGGGCCCCAGGGAAGCATGAAGCCCAGGTCAGCATGGGAGCCAAGTTCTCAAGACTCAGCCAGCTCCTTAGTTACCTCTCTGAGTTTCTGGAGCTCAGGGAAAGAGGTGTGGCCAAAGGGCACCTCTGAGCAGGGAAAAGAGAGCAAAGGTATCCAGAAAACCAGCCAAAGGGAGGAGCCTGCTCAGACAGGCCCTCCTCCAGGAGCCGCTTTGTGTCCCAAAGCCTTTTCCTTCCTGGTTTTCCTTTTTCCCTTTCAACTCACAAACATCCAAACACGGCTTTCCAAAGAAGCTTCTAGACTCCTTGGACTAGATCAGACGCCGCTGCTGGGCTCCCACACATTGCCTGGGATTCCCTCCATCCTAGCACATGGCCCATTCTTTTTTTTTTTTTTTTTTTTTGGTTTTTCGAGACAGGGTTTCTCTGTATTGTTTTGGAGGCTGTCCTGGAACTCCCCCTTGTAGACCAGGCTGGCCTTGAACTCACAGAGATCCTCCTGCATCTGCTTCCCGAGTGCTGGGATTAAAGGCGTGCGCCACCAACGCCCAGCCGGCCCATTCTCTTAAAGGATGTATTCAGTCCTTTCTCCCATGGGCCTCTAGTTACAAGAGGGGCAGGGACTATCCAAATGTCCCCTGTGTCCCCGGGCTCTAGCTCAGAGGTGGGTCCAGTAAGAACCTGGATGTCTACTGAGAGAGTACGTGATTGAGTGGCCGTCACTAGGAAGGATAGAATAGCAGAAGAGAGGAGAGGTAGGGAGGATAAAAATGATTTTCCCTACACTTGCATGCTTTGCATTTATATATTTATTGTGCATGTCTGCCCACACATGCCACAAGATACATGGAGATCAGAGGACAACTTGTTAGACCATGTGGGTTATGGGTATGACACTCAAGTCATCAGACTTGGTGACATGCACCTTTACCTACTGGCCCTTTTTCTCTGAGACATGAATCTCACGCTGTTGTTTGGGCTGATGCATGTCTGTGCACCACTTGTGTCTGGTGTCCACGAAAGTCAGAGGAGGGCATCGGGTCCCTTAGAACTGGGGTTACACACAGAGAGTTGTGGGCTTCAACTGCAGAGCCAGCTTTCCAGTCCCCTACAACCTTCTCCACACGTGTGAGCTCATTTCTCCACCATGAGCCACCCCACCTCACAAATGGGAATACTAGAACCTAGGAAAGGATGGGGCTCCCCTGTGTAAAACATAAGAATGGTGGCCTTAGGTTACGTGCTACCCACGCAAGTGTTCATGGAGTCTCACCTGGGGTTGACGGTACCAGTAGAGGGTGTGTCCCTTGAGCACAAACCAGCAGCGGCGCCAGCGTGGGCCCATAAAGCCACCAAGTACCTTACGTAGCAGAAGCCAACCATCACAGTCTGGCAGGCCCAGCTCCCGGCAGGACACCCGCCGGCGGCTCAACCTCGCAGCCACACCTGCCCCAACACAGCAAAACACATACTGATCTGGGGCCAGCAAGTATCCTTCCCTAAGTCTACTTGCCCCCTTGGGAATCCCAGCAGAACTGTCTGAACTCATACTCTGGGCTCACAATGTCACGAATGTCCTCAGAGAAGCTGGGCATATAGCTTAGTGGTAGAGTGCACAGCTCTGCTCCTCTGTCTCTGTCTCTGTCTCTGTCTCTGTCTCTGTCTCTGTCTCTCTCTCTCTCTCTCTCTCTCTCTCTCAGTCACAAACAGACAGACACAGACACAGACACAGACACAGACACACACACACACACACACCATAAGAGACGAAACTGACGACCAGAGGGTACTTTCTCACAGTCTCAGAGCTAGCAAGAGGCCTAGACAAGAAGCAAGGGTCCGTGGTTCCAGAAAAGGCTGTTGCGTAGGAAGCATGTGTGTACATTGAGGGGTCCTGCCCAGCCCTCTAAAGGTTTCTAAGACCCCAACAAGTCAGGAGCACTCATACCTTTTGATTTCTTCCGATCAAGGATGGGACTCTGAAAAGACCATAAGAGCTTAGAGAAAGTTCTAGATTCAGAGCCCATGGCCCTCCTTGCTGAGACTTTGAGTTTACCTTGTCAGGGTGTCCTGAAGTCTTCGGAGGCTCTGCTATGTTTTCTGGAAGTGTGCCTGGGGCTTCAGGAGCAGTGGGCAGGGGCTTAGTGTCAAGGGAGGTAGAGTCTGTCAGACAGGGAAGAGAGAGGGAAAATCCATGAGCTTAGGCCCAGGCCTTCGGGCGGGAATGTCAGCATGGAGAGTTGGTAGGACACTCAGATGCCTTGTCCAGAGCATGTACTACCTTCTGGCACTGTGAAATTACCTGTACAGGCAGGGCTGGGTCCAGGACTTCCACCTGCAGACAAGCTGAAGGCAAAGAGATCTTCGGATGGAACCCTATGGAGAACAAGGAGACCTGAGATGAGGCCTGTAGTACCCACTTCAAGACATACCCAGAAGCTGGGCTTGGTGGCACACACACTCCTTTAATCCCACCACTTAGGAGGCAGAGGCAGGTGGATCCCAGTGAGTTTAAGGCCAGCCTGGTCTACAGAGTGAGTTTCAGGACAGTCAGAACTGTTATATGAGAAACCCTGTCTCAAAAACCAAAACATCAAAAAGACACACCCAGTAGACAGAGCTTGTTACCTGGGAGACTGTGGGGTCAGAGACGGAGATTGGCTTAGCAGGTGAGGGGAGTCCAGGGGTGTCTGCAAAACAGCCAGGAATAAAGTCACAGAGCTGGCCACGGGAGTGTGGAAGCAGGTGTGGAGGGGTGAGGGCAGGCACCTGTGAGGGGCTCTCAGGCACTGGAATCTTCTTCAGCACTAGGCTGACCCTTGCTGGCTCTCTCAGAAGCTCCCTCACCACGTTCTTGTAGGGCCAGCCCACCTGAGGGACAGGAACATTGAGTAGGAGGATCTTTTTTTTTTTTTTTGGTTTTTCGAGACAGGGTTTCTCTGTGGCTTTGGAGGCTGTCCTGGAACTAGCTCTTGTAGACCAGGCTGGTCTCGAACTCACAGAGATCCGCCTGCCTCTGCCTCCAAAGTGCTGGGATTAAAGGTGTGCACCACCACCACCCAGCTTGAGTAGGAGGTTCTTAAACTGCCCAGCAACTCTTCCCTTCAGGGAACCTCTGGAGCCCCTTTACCTGAGCCCTGTGGAGGTCAGGCTAGCACCCAAGTGAGATCTCACCCATCAACAGCCATCCTGAGACCCTCCTCAGGATGTTGGCTCATGTCATGTAAGGAAGCTCCCACAGCCCCGTCTTCGCAAGGGGCAAAGATCCCCTCAAGCCTCCTCAGTACCCCTCACCTCCATCTTGCCCATCTCCCTCACTCACCACCACCTGCTCATTGATCTGGACGATTTCATCTCCTGGCAGGAGCTGGGAGCTGGGGGGAGCCTAGTGTGAGAAACGGGGCCCAGAGAGCGAGGCCTGAAGCTGGAATGGCTGGCAGGTGGGAAGGCCTTCGGGGTAGACAGGGGTGGTGTGAGTGCCGGGGCTTTTACCTGGACACCTACCTGGGACACGAAGTGCAGGCAGTTGTTGGTGGTATGAATTTCTAGACTCTGCAGGGATAGGAGATAAGTCAAGTGGGGTTGAACAGAGCCAGTGGGCAAAACCTCACACTGGGCACCAGGTAGGCAGAATGGGAACAGAGCCTCAAGATGGCATTGTCCTAGCTGTGTAACTTTGGGCTTGTTTCCCCCCCCACAGACAGACAGACAGACAGACAGACACACACACACAGAGGCTGCCACCCATAGTGAAGCTGTGTCGCTGATTTCTGAGGTAGCAGAGTCTCAGAACTTGCCTGAAGGGACAACAGGGGACGACACGGGGCTGGGGAGCAGGGAGAGCAACTCTGGTTTTCTTAACTGGTCAAGTTTAAAGTGTAAGTGTTCCCTCCCTCTCTGTTAAGATGCCCCAGGGATGTCAGAGCAGGAATGTCACCTGGGCCACACTACATAGGCCCTTCTAGCTTGGGAAAGGTGCCCAGCAATGAGGAGACCCCAGGCAGCTCCTCTGAGTCTCCGATTAAACATCTCTACACAGCAGACTTGGCTCCTGGAGCATGTGCCAGGGCCAGGGGTCTGCGGGGGGAGGTGAGAGGTTCACACTCACTGAAGGGTCGTCCAGCTGCACCTGCTCCAGCACAGCTGTCTGCTGCAGCAGCTCCTCTGGACTGCAGCTCAGGATGTTGTGACAGATCCCGGCCACGTGGCTGCACTGGGGGAGGAGGGCAGGCTGTCTGGCTGAGTCCGAGTCCATGCCCTGCACCTCCCCACCCAGCCCCGAGACTCACAATCCTCAGAATGTTGCTTTTCTTCTCAGCCTCTGGGCAGTCCTGAAAGCAGAGAGCATGGGGCCCCCTTTAGAAAGGACTGGGGGCCGCTTTCTCCTGAGGACACAGGGTGGGGGTGAGAAGGGCCTTTGATAGTCCTCACTTGCTTTCTCTACACGGGTCTCCTTGCCAGAACTATAATGGTCTCAGGGTTTCAACTCCAAGGTTTCATTCCTCTGACATGACACCTGACTCAACAATAACTACACATGCACTCTCCCATCACCCTTCCCGAATGTTACCTGAGCTTCTGCCAGGGACATCCCAGGGCCCACCCCATTGCCTGTTACCCCATACCCAGAGGCAGAGCTTCTCCTATTTTTGCTCTCCCCTCCCCCAGCTCTCACAACCAATCTTGGTCTGATTCACGGGTTATAAAAAGCTCTGGGTCCTGGAATGACCTGGCCCTTGTCCTCCTACCTCCTGCAAGACCTGGCCCAGCTCCCCGCACAACACGCCAATCTCTTGGCAAGCAGAGAAGTCATTTAAGTGTGAGAAGAGGTACCTGGCAGGAAAGACAATTAAGACACTGTGTTGGATATAATTCCTCACCTGAGAACTGGAGACAACCCCTACCTTGATGGTTCGGCTCAGCACAGGACTTTCTTGTCCTGCATGTGCTAGGTCCCGTTGTAGGCACCAGGGAGACAGCCATTAAGCAGACAGTTATATTACTAATGATTTAACTTCAACTTTTCTGAGGATTACAAATGAGCTGTAAGTGTGACACACAGACAAGGCGTCCCTGAGGAGGTGACATTTGAGGCAGGACATAGAGGACAGACAAGTGCCAGAGAAGGGGAAGCTCTCCATCCAATAGCTGTTGAGGGACCATGGAGATTGGTCATCAGTGGTAAAGGTGCCTGCCTCCAAATCTGGAGGCCCGAGTTCAATATCCAGGACCCTCATGGTGGAAGGCAAGAACTGACTCTTACAAGGGATGAACTGACCTTTGCATACATTCCTATGCCCCCATAACACACACACACACACACACACACACACACACACACACACACACACACACACACACACACACACGTCAAACAAGCAGCCATAAACTCAACTGTTGGTAACACCATTGAATGACAAGCTCCAGGGTGGGGTGGGAAGCAAGGTGGCCCAGCGTCCCTGCACAGACAGACTCTTTGATTTGCTCTGACATATCTGATCAAGAGTCACAATAAGAAGAGTCACTAGTTACCCCATCCCTGGTACCTGTTGAGCCAGGAGAGAAGGGCATGGGCCTCCCTCACCAGCTCTACAGCAGCAGCGAGGACATCAGTAGGGGTCTCAGCACAGCCTCCCAGACGGTCATGGGCCAAGCTCTGGAAGGCCTGGGTCCTTTCCAGCAGCCTCTGAGCCAGGCTCTGCAGATTCTCTGTCTGTAGCTTGGAGCCCTGCATCAAAAATGGGCATATCGGCAGACACCCACAGCTAAACAGTGAACTGAACTCCTGGGACCCAGTGACAGAGAGGGAGGAGTGATGAGCAAACGGGTCAAGACTGGGCTGGTTTAACCCACAGAGACAGCTGATCTGAACAAGGGGGAGCTCTTGGATCCCAGACTGATGGCTGAGAGGCCAGCATGGGACTAATCCAGACCCCCGAATGTGGGTGTCAGTGAGGAGGCCTAGGCAATCTATGGGGCCTTGGGTGGTAGCTCAGTATTTATCTCTGGCATACAAATGGACTTTGGGCGCCCATCCCACAATGAGGGACGCTCTCTCAGCCTGGACTCTTGGGGAAGAGCCTAGGCCCTGCTCTAAATGAAATGACAGACTTTGGAGATGCCCCTGGAGAAGGGAGTGAGGATTGGGTGGGGGGGATGGGTAGGCTGGGGGGATGGGGGAAGAGGGGAGGGAGAGGGAGCTGGGACTGACATGTGAAACAAGCTTGTTTCTAATTTAAATTTAAAAATGATATAAAAATGGGCATATTACTGCCCCCACAACAGCCAGCCCACATGGGCAAACCCCTAGACTGGTGGCTGCTACAACCAGCGTGGAGATGCTACGGCCTTGTGGCCAGAGCTCACTCACCAGGGCCCGGAGCTGTTCTACTCCATCTAGAATGAGCTCCTGGTGGCCCAAAGGCCGCATGGTCAGAGCCTGGAGGCTTTGGGGACAGAGCTGCAGCAGGTACTTTCCAGGCAGCTTCCAGTCTTCGAAGGGGTAGTCCTGCAGAGCATCATCAAGGCCTGGAGCAAGGGGTCAGCGTGGGGAGACAGGTGTCATTACCGGCTTCATCACATCAGAGCCCTTCCCCCTCCCACCTGTCCCTAATGACAACCCTGAGACCCGAGTTGGCTTCTGCCCTTCTCGCAGCTGATGCTACTGAGTTGAGAACCATATACAGCAGCGACTCTGGCAAGTGTGTACAACCTACTGACATTGCCATCCACCAAATTCACGCTCAAATAAATACCGTGCAATCCAGTTACCAGGAAACAAAACAGAACAAAGGGGCTATCGAGCGGTTTCGGTGGTTAAGAACAACAGCACTGCTCTTGCAGAGGGTCTGAGCTTGTTCTACCCAGGACCCATATGCCAACCACCTGGAGTCAGGGAGACCTAAGCAGGACCGCACACTTAAGATACCTACTAGTTCTGTGCTTAAATATCTTCACTTATAAAACAGAAGAGATAGGGCAGGGCGGTGGTGGCACACGACTTTAGTTTCAACACGCACGAGAGGCAGAGGCAGGTGGATCTCTGTGAGTTCAAGGCCAGCCTGGTTCAGTGGTTAAGAGCACTTACTGTTCTTACAGAGGACCCTGGTTCAGTTCCTAGCACCCACATGGTAGCTCATAACTGTTCACAAGCACACTTAAGGTGCACATAGATACATGCAGGCAAAACACTCATACACATAAAGTAAATAAAAGTTTAAAAATAAAACGGCGACAACGAAAGCACTTGCCTTCTAACCATGTGTGTTCGATAATTGATGTGTGCCAAACACTTGGTTCATAGTCAGGAAGTAACAGCCATCACATTGTTGCCAGGCTGTCTACTGTGGCCGTACGTTGTGTGAGGTTATGCTTTAAGAACTTTACCCAGTCGAGTGTGGTGGCACACGCCTTTAATCCCAGTACTTGGAATGCAGAGACTGGGGGATCCCTGAGCTCGAGGGCAGCCTGGTCTACAGAGTGAGTTATAGGAGAGCCAGAGCTACACAGAGAAACAATGCCTGTCTCAAAAACACATAAAGAAATAAAACGAACTCTACCCATATTAGCATTCCTGGAAGGTGGGGACTACACATCATCCCTGATACTCAACTGTGAAAGCCTAGAGAGACAGTGGCTTGCTCACGCTTTGGAAGAAAGCCTCCCACCCCACCAGGCCTGACTGTCACTGGGGAATGTGTGTGGTCATTAGGTGTTCCTCATCCTTCCTGAGGCAAGAGTCCTGACTGGGAGCTCAATAAGCCAGGGTTATTTGAACAACTTCCTTCCCATGTTGGGTTGACTCCCTCCCTCCCAGAAGACACCAACATTGAGCTACACATGCCAGTCACACAAACATGGTCACATTTTGTCTAGTTCATGAATAGAGAAACTGAGACCTGTGGTCACAGACCTGCTGGCCTGGGCTCCAGTCTGCGAGTATGACGCAGTTGTCCGGGGCTGCTCACACTGAAAAACGCCTCCAGAAGGCTCCGGCTGCCTCTGTGAGAGCAACACTGGCCTCCCCACTCCCGCTACAGCCACAAAGGCCTTACTTCTCTGAGTCTGCTGTGTTTGTATCTCTTGGTGGCCTGGGGAGTGACCTTCCCTCCGATGGAAACCCCAGGGTGGGGCCGTGTCACCCCTTCAGAATGGCTGGGGCTTCTGCTTCTCTCACTGACAAGCTCAGGCTGAGGAGAGGGGAAACCGACACCAGGGCCGGCCCAGTTCCAACACTGAACAAATCACTCCCTGGCTGTGTGTTTGTTTGTACTTTTAAAAAAAAATGGGCTTAACAAACAGCTCACAGGGCCCTGGGGCACAGGGAAGATGACGGAGATAAAGGGGGCGTGGGCCACCAGGGCCACCCTGGTTAGCTTAGTACTGCACCTGCCGGTCGCCACCCTGGCGGGCGCTTGAACACACAAAAACAGAGAGAGACCTCTTCTTGCGTCTCAGTGCCTCAGATGTCTCCCGGCCTATCCCGTCAACACGGTGTCTATTCAGAGGATTCCGGCACTCTGGTTCACGGCAGACGGTAGACGCTCTATAAATACCTGTTGACTAATAGACTCGGCGGCAGGTTCGTTCTCCTTTTTCCTCTCCCTATTTTCTGCCCAAGGAACACCACACTATACCCTTCAAGTCCACCTCTGCCCCCGGCTCACCAACCTCTCAGCCAAGCTGCCACCTTCGCGGGGGTCCAGGCCTCCACCGGCTCCATGCTGAGCTCTGCCCGCAGTGTCCAGCCCCTGCAGGAATTTCCGCTCCCAGATGGAGCCCGGAGCCCGCCGGGCTGGGCCAGGGCGGGGCCGCCGCATACCTGGGCCCACGTGGCCACCCAGGTGAGGGACGGCGACTGCCATTGGCCCACCGTCTGTCTTCCGCCTGCCCGGCCCCTTTAGCATCCTAGGACTTTGGCAGCTAGCTCCAGAGCTGACGCCACGGGGGTGTGACTCGGACAGTCCGGAAATGATTGAGATTCGGTCCAAAACTGGCTTCCTCATGAGGATCCCTGTGAGCTTGACGTTAGCCGGGTCTACACAGCTGATTTCCAGGCTAGCCAGGGCCGTGTAGGGAGGCTTTGTTTAAAACAAAACAAACTGGCCCCTTATCTCAGCCAGGGATTCTGACTTCTCACCACCTACACAAGCGAGCCTGGTGTGTGGTTGGTGCAGAACAGCGCGTGGCTAGCCCTCCGCCCCCACCCCGGGGTCCCCGTGATATCTGTTATTGCCGTCTGGGGTTGTTGCACAGACGGTTGACCTGATGCTCACTTCTAGGGCATAACTGTCCTTGTCTCATGGGACATCTATGAATATTAAATGTTTAGAACAGGGGGTCATGGTGATTCTTGCTTGTAATTTCGGGACTCTAGGGGCTGAGGCAGTGTGAATGGCTCCAAGTTCAAGGAGGACCTGGGCTAGAGTGACTCCCTTTCAAAACCACAAAAATGAAACAGCAGAAACTAACACTAATAAAAACCTTCAGCATGGGACTCGGCCTCCTTATTTTGCACCCTTTGACAGTTTTTGAGAATTAGAGACCCTTTCTCAAAGTAAAACTGTTCATTAATCCAGTTATTATTTTAGGGCACAAACAGCCTTTATTGATTACAAAAGAAGAGGAAACATACCAACCATTCCCCTGGAGAGACATTGGCAGACACATTAGCTGCTTCTGAATGCACTTCTTATTCTTGCTACAATTCTTTTTTCAAGACAGGGTTTCTCTGTGTGGCTTTGGAGCCTGTCCTAGAGCTAACTCTTTAGACCAGGCTGGCCTCAAACTCAGAGATCCACCTGCCTCTGCCTCCCAAATGCTGGGGTTAAAGGTGTGCACCACCAACGCCCGGCTTCTTGCTACAATTTTTGAGATGTTTTTTATTCTTGTTATGTTGCTCAGACTGCTCTCCAAATCATGGATTCAAGTGACTGACTCCGAGGCCAGCCTGGTCTACATTGTTTCAGAGGTTTTTCCAGACAGGGTTTCTCTGTTTAACAGCTCTGGCTGTCCTGGAACTAGAACTAGCTCTGCAGACCAGACTGGCCTCAAATTTGCAGTGATCCGCCTGCCTCTGCTTCCCAAATGCTGGGATTAAAAACTCTCAGTCACTGTACTACGCCCTCGGCCCTCTCATCCTTTATACAGATATACGCCCGGCCTGCACAATATTCTGGAAATCATCATTTTTGTCATTTTCACAGAGAACAAAAAGCCAAGTATGGTGGCATGTACCTTTAATCCCAGCACGTGTGAGGCACAGTCAGGTGGATCTCTTGTGAGTTCAAGGCCAGCCTGGTCTACCTAATGAGTTCCAGGATGGTCAGGGTTATGTAGAGAGAACCTGTCTCAAAAAAGTGAAAGAGATAATAAAATACACAGAAATTGCTTAGAATAATGACACAGGCTATTTTTTAATCTTTTAATATTGTCGCTGGGCGGTGGTGGCGCACGCCTTTAATCCCAGTATTCGGGAGGCAGAGGCAGGTGGATCTCTGTGAGTTCGAGACCAGCCTGGTCTATAGAGCGAGTTCCAGGATAGCCTTCAAACAATACAGAGAAGCCCTGTCTTGAAAAACCAAAAAAAAAAAAAAAATATATATATATATATATATATATATATATATATATATATATATATTGTCAGAATGGTCAGAATGGCTCTGTGGGTAAAGGCATTTGCTACCAAGCCTTCTGAGCTGAACTGGACACCCTGGACCCACTTGTTGGAAGGAGAGAACTCCCTCACGTTCTCCTCTGACCTCCATGTGTATATTGTCACACGTGTTTACAAACACAAAAATAGACATAATCAAAAACTGTAACAATACATTATGAACAATTTTACCTGCATAAGCAATTCTCTCTCTCTCACTCTTGAGCAATTCTTTTTTAAAGCCACACAAGAGAAGTTCTTGTGGAAACTCTATCTTGGGTGGGTGAAGAACACCCTCCAAGGTGGTTGGATTTACAGAACCCAAATGGAAAAGTGGCTAACAAGTCACCTGACCTCTTGCTGAACGCAGACTGGCAGCATTGACTTATCCATGGGTAGCAGTACAGTCCAGACCAGGGCTGAGGAAGCCTGTCCACCACCTGCTTGATGCCTGGACTTGTAGGCACTGCCAGCCAAGGTTTTGTCTACATGCCTGGCCTGGTCTCTCTGGTGAATGGGGGAGGAGCTGCTTCTCAGGCCTGATGCTGATCTCTCCTGACAGCTGCTCCTAAGGCTGGCAAGGCAGGGGGGAAGGGACCAGATTTAAAGATCCAGCCGCCCCGCCCCCTGCCAGACTTGGGCGAGCCAGAAGCCGTGAGCATCCTCTGTGCACATAGTGCCCAGGCAAAACAGGCCGGGGACTTCTATGCCCAGTTCCCACCTCTTGATGCTCCAGGCAACATCTAGTCTTCAATTCTGTTCCCACTCCACAGGCGGACAGGGAGACCAGCACCCCCACTATGAGATTTCGACGTCTGACCCCTGGCTACTTCCGGGTGTTACAGGTAAGCGCATCTAAATACTGGCTTTTTGCACCATCAGTCTCTCCCTCCCCCTCTCATGGTGGGGCTGATACCCCCAGTGGCCAGACTGTCACGTTCCCTGCTGCCTGACTAGCCAGGACCCAGATGGGCACTGAGGCGAGAGGGATTGGGGTGGAATCTCCCTGGGGCAGACATGGCGTCCATCCGACTCCACCCAGCAGCACCGTTGCCACCGTATTTCCTGCTTGCCACCTAGTTTTCAGTGGAGCCTTCCATGTGCACCCTGTATTCTACCAGATGCAGGTGGCCGGGGGAGCTGAAGGCAGAGCCCCGGAGTCCGCTGGTTGGGATTGTGGCTACACTGCTGGCTGTCCTTGGGTTAGGTGGCTCCTGCTACGCCGTTTGGAAGATGGTGAAGCAGCGACAGCCATCACAGACCCCATGATGAGGCAGGTGGCCTCTCACCCAGGCTTGAAGGTACGTGACTCAGGGGAGGGGGCTGTAATTTCAGAGACTCACGTTTTCCCTTTGGAAATCCTCATCAGAAACACAGACTAACCCCATCCTACTCCCCAATTTTACGCCGTACCTGGACTCCAGCCTAGAAACAAAGAAGGCAGGGGCGGGGGTGGGGGGGGGCAGGGGGTGGTATGGGTTCCAAAGCTGGACCTAGTAGGGAATAGACAGTTTGGCTCAGAAACCCTTGCAAGGCTGGAAGCTGCAGGACTGGAAGGGAAGTTAGAATACGAGGTATGCCCTCTTGTCCAGGTCCTTTATTTTGGGCAGAACACCCAGAGAGATCATCTCCCCAAAACCCAAAGTACACACTCAGCCTAGCCACTGCACCACTGTCCACGGGCAGTTAGTCTGTCCTGATCCTCAGGCCGCTCAGGTGGATGTGTCCATCTCTGGGATCTCAGTGGACACTTCTGTGGGCACTCCCAGGCGCTGGGGGGGGGCACATAGGAGCCCATGCCCGCTGCCCTCTCAGCTTCTTCCTGACTGTAGGGTTCTATGCTCAGCTGCTTCAGCCTGGGAGGAAGAACAGGAGCTTGGAGCTGATCAGGCGCAAGACCTACCTGCATGGCACCCATCCGACAACCCTCTCCTGACCCCCCCCCCCCCCCTTCATACCTCTTCTTGTGGTCTTTGGATCGGAAGTGGGTCTTCAGGTTGGCAGAATCGATGAAGTACCTCCTGCAGGGATGTAGGGTGAGGGGAAGGATAAAGAGGTAAGGCCTTTCAGATATGCCTACCTCCCCGGCCCTAACTCGTTCCCGAACATCAGATTTCGAGCGCGAAGACATGGGGGACGGGCTGACCCACGGGTCCCAAGACAGAAGGCCCCGCGCAGCTCGCCGCCCGGATCTCACCGCTATGGGCTAGTATCTCAGACCCTGCTCCACCCCGGGATGGACTCACGCGCAGGCTAGACAGCGATGCAGGCCGCCCCCTGGCAGGTCCGGGTCGGGCTCGGCGTCCAGCTCCGGCTTGGGCCGCGGGAACCCCTGTGGCCGCAGCTCGCGGTGAATCTCATCCAGATCTGGCCGCCGCTTCTTGGCTTTCATCTGGCGGGCTAAGGAATGGGCCCGGTGCGCGCCGGTCCGGCGGGAGCGACCCATGATCAATGACAACAAGACCAAGGAGCAGAGAAAGACCCACACGTGTTGGCGCTTCCGGGCCTCTCAATGACGTCACGGAAGGTCCGCCCTGGGGCGGAACAGGATTGCCCGGACCGCCTCTGATGACGCCAGGGACGGACTGGTGGCTTGAGCGCCCCCAGATGGTCGTGGATGATAGTGACTGGGCCGTTGAGGGGCAGGGACCGGCCAGGTAGGGTAGCAGATCCTGCAACTCTGCCAGCCCCATCATCACTTCCCACACCTCGGGTTTCAGTTGTAGAGAACACCTCCAACGTCTCTGGAAAGCACCGTGCCATAAATAAATTATTTCATAAATGAGAGCAAGTTTGAAATCGTGGATGGGGCACCCAGAGGTACCCCTAGACTCTAACAAAGGGCCTCTCCCCCGTTATTTTCTTGGGCCTATGTCTCTTCTGTCCTGCCTCTACACCCAGGCAAATTGGTGGGGCAAAGAATGGAGAATTGTTTCCCAAAGAACCTAGCACCTAGGGATTCCAACCTTGAAGAGTGGTCAGCTCTTCTGGTTTGGTTGGGTGGTTGGTTGGTTTTTCAGTACTGATGGTAGAACCCAGAGCCTCATAGATGCCAGGCAGACAGTCTAACAGGAGGGCTACATCTGCAGCCCAAGAGGAAATGTCCCTAGAAGAACCCCCATCTCTGCTTTCTTTCTCAAGGCTCAGGCTCCCAGGAGACGGCTGGCAGGAAAAGGGGAAATAACCAAGAAGTGTGTGCTTGGAGTAGGGCGAGGACCAGAGAGCCTCTCTTCTCTCTTCTTGGCCTGGTGCCGCTCAGGCTGGGGGCAGAGGATCTCAGCAATAATTCAGGGTTCTTGCTCTTTGGGGCCAGTTGCCAGGAAACAGGGAGACAGGCACGTGCATCCCTGGGGAGAGCAGGTTTCTAGGCCAGACAAAGCAGTGGAATGGAAGCCCGGGGTGCTGACTGGAGGCCTGGGGACCTTCCCACTCCAGCTCACGAAGACTGAGTAGAGACACAGGGTGGGGCCCAGAGGAAGACATAACTAGTATGACTACAACCATAGGATTCACAGGTATGGGTCCTGGACTCAAAACTTTGAGTGGAAAACTCTCCCGCAGCTATTCTAAGAGACAAACAACCACCAGTATTCCTAAATGCAGGAAAATGGACTCTCCAAAGTTCTGCCTTCATTACCTTTGGCCAATATGGGTCACGACAAGGGGCTGAGGTGGCACAAGCCTGCCCCAACCCCAGAATCACTGGGATCAGGTTTACCGTCTTGGCGCTGTGCCAGCCGGGGAGAATGGTACATCTTTCATGAAGTCACCGGATCCCTGGGACAGGCTCTTGGTTCCTCCAAGTTTCTGGAGCCAGACCCACTGGTACCCACTGAGCTACCACCTTCTGTGCCTGGTGCCAGGCCCCTTACCCTGCAGCCATGAACCAAGCTTTCTGGAAAGCTTACAAGTCCAAAGTGCTGCAGACTCTGGGTGGAGAATCTGAAGAGGACCTGGCAGAGGAGGTGGGTACTGGCCATGTTTTCTAGAACAGAGAGACAGCAATGGGGGGTATAAAGAGCATTAAATAATCTGGGGAAGGAGACAGATTCACTTACGCAAAGATGGTAAGCACACTCAGGGATTACAAACAGCACAGTGCCATGGTGGAGATGTTCAAAGATGCAAGAAAGGGAAGAGCTAGGCCCACGAGAGAAGCAGTCACTGACTCCAAGGATCTCATGAACTGCCCTAAGATAAAGGTTGTTCTGATGCCACTTGGCAGTAGCCACAAAAGTACGTGAAGCTCGCCACAGCTTTCTAGTGGACAAAGCTAAGCGAAGTGAGAAGGCTTGCCTAGTGAGGTAATGAGCTCTTGCCTGCAGGAGCAGGGAGTAAGTAGTTCTTAGGCTCTGTGGGCCCCAGTAGCAGCATTCCATCAAAGTCGTACTTAGACCATACTTAGTTCTGACGGGGAGGACAAAAAGGACTTTGAAACTAGGAGTCTATGTCTAGAAGTTGTGATAACTCGAAGTCACACAGATAGATGTGTCAGGGGCAGGAACTAGCCCTGTGGTGGTGAGAGGGTGGATAAGCATATGCCTGGACAGGTTGGTGTCCAAGGCTGGGTTTCTACGGATGTGTCCATAGGAAAAATGCTACAGCTGTTGTCTCTGTGGAAATGCCAGTGCAGGTCTGAACTGGATTCCGTGATTTTTTTTCCGTAGATATGCATTTTGAGCAGCATCCTATACCTGTATGCTTTTATCTAGGCGTTTGAAGGTGTTGCATTTAGTTGGTAGAGAGATTTTGAATGCTCTGCAAAGGTCTGTTTAGCTAGCTGCCTGCAGGAGGATAAGCTACAGGCATGGATTGTTTAACCACACGAGTGTCCCTGTGTGAGTACCAGACGGCGTGTGCATTTGTACACAGAGGGAAAGGTGTATCCACAAAGAGGCACGCTCATGTACAGGTGTGTGTCTGAAGTCATGTGCATAGTGTGCCCTTGTCCCAGTTTCTGAGTGTGTCTGGTCATGTGTGGAAGTGGGCGGGGCAGGTGTATATGCTCAAGGGTGTCTGCAGAGGTTTACCACGCAGGCCGGTGTATGTGGCCAGAGGCATTACGTAGCATACCTGTGAGCATTTCCACGTGCCCCAGTGGCGATGCAAAGTGGGTGCATGGGAGGATTGTACTTCCATACATAGACCCCTTCACGTGTGCACCCACTAGCAAAGGTGTGCACCCGCTAGCAAAGGGCTTCTCTCATGCGGGGGGGGGGGGGGGGGTTGTCTTGTGTCCCAGAGGGAGAACCCAGCATCAGAGGAGACAGCAGCACCCCCCGAGGAGGCCTTCAACCCCATGTCCCAGCTGGCTCGAAGGGTGAGTTCTCCAGTCTTTCACCCAACCCTGGGAAACATGTCGGAGGCTATGGTGAAGCCCCAGGAGGCTTGGTGGCCTTCATTCCTGACTCTCAGCTCTTTCCTCCAGGTTCAGGGGGTCGGGGTGAAAGGTTGGCTGACAATGTCATCTCTGTTTAACAAAGAAGATGAGGACAAACTGCTGCCACCAGAGCCCTGTGCTGATCAGTACGTGTGGCCTTAGTGGGTGGGGCTGGAAGGGTCCTAAGATCTCTTTTCTGGCTCCCTCCCCCTCTGTTCATCACCCCTGTAGGCTCCTTCCTCTTATCAGGATACAGCAGGGTTAGATCTCCTGGGACTGAGGTAACAGGAAGTCCTTATGGGTGGCTACTCCCTCTTCCTCAGGACTGCCAACTCCCTAGAGCCCAGGACAGCAGAGACCTTTTTAGGTGCTTGCAACAAAGAGTGGTAAACCCTCACCCTCCACGGCAGCTGTCACCAAAGTAGATTCCCTTCCTCTGATACCGTTGGTGTACGCGGAGGCCTGAGGACCCCAGAGGACCCCAGTGATTTATAAGGTCTTGGATGTTGAGAACAGACCCAGGGCCTCATCTCCACATCTCTGCCTTTGCCTTCAGTCCTGCACACCCACCCATCACCCTGTCTTCTGCTCTACCCCTCCTCCGGCCTCACTTTTCCTCCCCACCCCCTAGCCTCCTCCGCCTGCCTGTACCAGGACTTTTTCAGAGACGAGACTCCTTCGGACATTGTGATTCCTCCTTGACAGTTTTTCAGCAAATCAGCCTAACCATTTTGCTTGCCTAGCTCTCCCGGGCCGCTCCTCCCCGCTCCCCTGGGGGGTTCTTTCTTTTGGGGCTTAAATAAGCCCACCCCAACTCTCTGTCACGCCCTTCCCCTCTTAGAGATCTTCCCTGGCTTTCCGGACCCGGCTGGTTTCCGTTGTCTCCAAACTCCTGACCGCTCCATCCAACTCGGGGATCCCAGTTCCCCCCTGCCCAGCCCTCTCACCGCCTCTCCTGACCCTGTCCCACTTCACCCTTTTTCCGCCAGAGTCTCTGAACCATCCCTTTGCTTACAGGCCCTGATCTTGTCCCGACTCCCCTGATCACACTTCTTGTCTCTTCTCCTGCCCATTGTCCCCTTCTGGGACCTCGAGCCAGCCGCTGACCCCCCCTCTCCTGTAGCCCGCTGGCGGCGCCCCCCTCCACGCAGGCGGCCGCAGCCGAGACGGAGCCGCGCGGGCCGGGATTCTGGGACGCGTTCGCCAGCAGATGGCAGCAGCAGCAGCAGGCGGCGGCGTCCATGCTGCGCGGCGTGGAGAGCACCGCTGAACCGGACCCGCATCCCCGGGAGAAGCCTGCTGAGGAGGCCACCGAGTGCCCCGAGACCCGGGAGGTGGACCCCGCGGCAGGCTTCAAGTGGGGTTTCCTCACCCACAAACTGGCAGAGATGAGGGTGAAGGCCGCGCCCAAGGGCGACTAGCCGGCGCCCGCCTTTCCCTACCACCCATAAAATCTCCTGGATCTACACCCACTGTGACTGTGTAATTTTATCCCCCCGACAACAGGAAAAGCTACTTTTAGGTGGGCGATTTCAGGCGGGATCTAGCTAAAGGGTTCCTCGCCTTCTTTTCCGACGGAAGTGCCAGGTGACAGAATGGGTGGCCTTAGATTTAGGGTACAACTCTCCAGAAAACCCCAGAGAACAAGCTCCGCTGCCCTGCCCAGCTTCGTTTTCATTCAGCACAGCGTCCTGGTGGTCCAACGGCATATGCTGAGTCAAAATGTATGAAAATACTGGGGTAACGAGGCAACGCCGGGTCCCGGGCAGAGGCTTGTTGGGGAATAAAGTGGGAGCCCATGGGATGAGACAAGGCAGAACCGGAATTTTGGGAAAGTGTCCTGGAGGAGCCTGTGCGTGTGATGCTCGAAGAATGCAGAGTTAGGGAGGGAAATCTAAGACAGAGGAGGAACTAAGACTTCGACCGGAACCTGTGAAGAAAACCTGCGACTTTGTGTGTTTGGAGGGGAAAAAGAAACTCTGCTGGGAATATAGCTTAATAGAGGGCTTGCCTAGCTGCATGAAGGCCCTGGGTTCGATCCCCAGTTGTTACATAAACCTCGCTGGTTGCTAGCAGGGTGAGGCTGACGCGGGACACACACACACACACACACACACACACACACACACACACACAGACACAGAGATACAGAGACAGAGAGAGACAGAGAGAGACAGAGAGAGGAGAGAGAGAGCGCGCAGGAAGTTACAGATGGCAAAATCCTGACTCAAAGATGCCCCGGTTTTAATGGTTTCCATTTCAGACCCTCCAAATACCTCAGCCTTGCTTACCTGGGGACCATGGGGGACGGCGGGGGCCGGGGGGAGCTCAAAGTCCCAAGAATCTTGGATAGCTTAAGCAAGCTGCAGTTTATTGAGCACTTTCTATATTCCAGGCACACTTGCCATGAGCGTTACAACTACTCCAGAACGCTACCATCTACCTCCTTTAATAACTGAGACAGGCAGAGGGTTTGGTCGCTGTCACACTCAGCCTGGAGCCCACACTCAAAACCCTCAAACTCAGCCTCGCAAACCAGTTCTCCCTTTCCCCAACCTCTGCCCACTAAGCCAAACTCAACGATCCTTTTGTTAAATAATATTTTAGCTTTAATCAGTAGTTCACTCATCTCCTACCCCAGCCCATTACTTTTCACATTCAGTCTCCAGAGAGGCTATGTGGCCACCCAACCCCTTCCCGCAGTCTGCGTCTGGCCCTTGTGGTCCCGCCTGCTCAGGGTGCAGACGGAAACTGAGATCTAGGGAAAGGATTTGTTCGCGGACGAGGCGAGCTCTCCGGGAGCCGTCTCCGGTGCCGCGGTGCTCACACCTCGGACTCGCGCGGCGGAGCGCGCGCGCGCTGGCAGCCGTACAACCACTGGATGACGCGCGCGTTGCGTTCCACCACTGACACCGGGGGGCGTCCGTCCCGCGCGGACCCCGCCGCCTCTGAGCCGCCGCCACAACCTCCCGCACAGTCCGGGTTGCCCGTGTCCCCGTCGCTGGATGTCCAGTCGCTGGTGTCCCCGGAGCCGGGCAGCGGCGGCGTTGCCACCTGCGGGCTATGCTCGGCGCCCCAGCTCTGCGGGGAGAAGCGCTCGGCGCCCAGCACCTCCACCAGCGCGCGCTCCAGGCCGCAGTAGTTAAAGAAGCGCTCCTTCTCCGACAGTGGCAGCGAGCACGTGGGACACAGCGCTCTCTTCCCTGCCGCCTCCGGAGCATCCGGGGACCCAGCCCAGCCTGCGGGTGCCGCAGGTCTTTCTGTAGGTCCCGGGCTGCTCGGGGCAGCATCCCGGGGGGCGCCGAGGAAGAGGCGTCGTACTAGCCCCTGACCCTTGGCGTTCTCTTTGTTCACCGAAGCCTTGCAGTCCCGCTTCTGGCGGTAGAAGATGAGGGAGTCAGGCCTTGGCTGTCGCCTGCCGCTACCCCGACGGGCAGGTCCAGGCGTCCTGGGCGATGCAGAGGCCCCCAGCTCATTGCAAGGGTGTGGCGTCAGTGGTCCTGGTCCCCCTCTCAGGGCTGGCTCCTGACGACGTACTATCACCTGCTGCGTCTTGACGTACTTAGCTTTGTCAGCCTCCAGCCTCTCCACGGCGCTGGGGGTTCGTCCCCTCGATGGCGTGGAGGGAGAGGACAGGAGCATCTTAGCGGAGCTGGGCAGATCAGTGCTCCATACACAGTTAGAGATGCACAGGTAGCCGACGAGCAGCAAGCAATTCTCTACAGTTCCTGGGGCCTGCAGGGAGAGAGGAACTGTCTGGAAGAGGGTAGGCTGTCCCTGCCCCTCTCCTGTCGGCAATCCTGGGTAGAGGATCAGCCAGCCACCCCTCCCCCATCAACTGGTACCATGCCCAGGGAACAGAAGCTAGACCCACCCCTCACCAATCCTTAAGAGGTATTGGATGATTCTTTGGGCTGCCGAGGGCGGGGGCGTATGCCCCTTTGAGAGTGCTCCAATCTGGCCACTGGGCCATGCACACGGGACAAGCAAGCAGGACACTTGGAAAGGAAAATCAGGCGGGCCCTAGCTCAATTCCCGAAATCGGCTTTAACCGGAAAAAATACCTCTTCCCAACAGAGCAGCTTCAAGCCCAAGACAAGGAGGCTCCGCAGCCACAGGCTGGCTGCAGTCGACTCACCCTTCCCGCCCCCGAGGACCGAGGTCAGGGACATAACCATAGGGTAGGAGCTTCTAGTAACTGCTGCCAACTTCCTGGCCCAGGCCCAGCAGGGCTATTCAGGAAGGAGAGGGAGGTGGTCCCTAGCCTGTATCAGTCTGCTACTGCCAGCCACTGTGTGCCCCATGCTAACGGGAGTCCAGAAAGACCGAACGGGTAAACACCACCTCTTCCAACGCCTGCACTTCCATTTCAGAAGCCAGGACAATGGTCAGGAGAGGAAGGGACTGGTATAGCTCCTTTTGAGAATTAGGGTGCCACCTGGGACCCAGATTTCTTGCCTTATTGTGCAGATCTAGATCATCTTCGACGCCCTGCTTGCCTGTCAGGACTTCCCTTTGGTGTTTGAACGGTCTCGGTTCCTGGCTGCTGTAAATCCCAACAGGAACCCTCTAGTCTCACTAAGCGGTTCCCTCCACTGATTCTGCCTAATAACTTGCACACCCAGAAATCTGCCCTCCGGGTCCCTGCCCCCTCCCCATCCAGAAACCTCTGACCCTTCTTCATCTCCCTTGAGCTGGAGGAAAAGGGCAAGAGGGACGGTAAATTAAGAACTGACAGTTCCCTTGTCAGCTAACAGAATGGGCCACCCACATGGCTCAACACGCCCACCCCTGTCCTCGGATTTCCCGTTCCCATACAACTGGAAGACACTTATTAGCTCTGGGGACTGAAGGGACCTTGGATCTATAGGCAAGAAGGAACAGCTAGGCAAGGGTGCATGAAGAAGGGTTTGGTCTCCACCCTTCACAGAGACCTTAGCAGTGGAGACCCTGGTCACTCCAACCCCCGCCCGGCTCAACCAGTTACACTTTTCACACCACTGCTCCACACTGCCACCTAGTATGTGGTAAATCTGCCCAGTGTGAGTGGTTGAAACCTAGGCAGTAATGACAGCCTGCCTGTGCCCAGCTCTATTCACTCAGGGACTACACTGGTTCAGATTCCAAGGTCCCAGGAGGGCACTGAGCTTGTCTGACCTCATGAATGGCCTCTGTCCCCTCCTTCTCTCTTTAGCCCTGAGCAAGGAGGCTATAAAAAGTCCCTAAACACAGGACCAAAATAGTCTCCTGTCCCCTGCCTCATCCCTGTTTTCGGGGCTCGCTTTGATGTTTGACCACAGACGGCCCATGCTAGACGGGTAGTCAGTCTTGTCCCTCTGTCCCTTTGCCTGCCCTCTCCAGCCCCTGAATTAGAAATTCCAACTCTGTCCACTCAGAGGCTTCTGTTCTCAACATTGGTGCTTCTAGGTTCAGTAGCTTGGCACCAGCCTCTTTGCCATCAGCCCAAAAGTACCCTCCTGTCCTCATGCCCTCCCACCCACGTTGGGCTTCAGACGCACTTACCCCTGTGTGGAGGTGCTGAGTTGCAGCAGTCCTTTGGTAGGCCCAGACAGAAGGCAGGAGGGACAGCGGGGACTAGGGAGTAACTTTGGTGGCAGCCAAGCCTTACTCTCCACAGGAAAAGAGAAGAGCCTCCACCCCCTAGGTTAACCCTTCCTGACCCAGAGCTCAGACTGACTTAACTCCTTCCTGACCAGTCTTGGTGCTGAAAGGACCTGTGAGCCGTGTCCAGCAACTTTATAGATGGTTAGATAAACTCTGTCAGGTTCAGTGGTTATCGCTGAGGCACCGTAAACTTGGGCAGAAGTACCATGACCCCAAACAAGACCGTCTGCTCCCCAGCTCCCTCTGAAGTCTTGACTCTATGATGTAGATCGGAGGGCAAAATAGGGCACTATGTCATTTGCTTTTGCCCTCTGGCAGATATAGGCCTGTTTTTTTTTTTTTTGTTTTTTTGTTTTTTTTTTTTTTTTTTTTTTTTTTTGGTTTTTCGAGACAGGGTTTCTCTGTGGCTTTGGAGGCTGTCCTGGAACTCACTTGGTAGTCCAGGCTGGTCTGGAACTCACAGAGATCCACCTGCCTCTGCCTCCCCGGTGCTGGGATTAAAGGCGTGCGCCACCAACGCCCAGCTGGTATAGGCCTGTTTTAATCCTGGTATTGGAGTGTGTCGAGCCTGCTCTTCCTAGAGGCGAGCCCTGCCTCCTAAGGGTGGGTGCAGTGGTGCTCAGGTGTGTGGAGAGCCTGTCCCAGCAAGACTTAGCATGAGAACTGAGCATGTGGCCCGGCTCTAATGATGGCACATGGAACTAACTGGGAAGGATGTGAAGGAAGAGGTTTTCTAGGGCTAAGTCTCCATCCTTTGGCCCCTGACTTGGGGAGCCCTAGTAGTCTAGAAGACTTTTCTCTGACACCATTTAATCTCAAGGGAAAGCCCGGGCCATAAAGGAATGCCACCCCGCTCTGTAGGCAGACTCCTTAGCACTGGGAGTTCAAAGGCCGGGGCTTAGCTCTGTCCCAGTGGTGCCCAACCACTTAGCATAAACCCCTCCCTCCTCCTAACACTTTTAATGTTTGTCAGGCCCGTTTCCATCTATGCTCTGATCTCCCTTGAGCCCCCTCCCGAGGAACCTAGATGGGGCTCAGCAGGAGTAGTAATCCCACTTGAGGGGGAGGAAATGAGTAAAGTAGGAGGGGCTTATGCAGACCCCCATATCCTCTCCTCCTCTGCCCCAGGGTCTGTCCAGAAGATTGTTGCCATACCTAGGTCTGATGGGGTGTGAAGGCTCTGGGGCACACAGCTTGCCTTGGTTGTAAATGGAGCTGGCTAGGAAGAGAGGGGTGGAAGAGGCTCCTTTGGCTTCCTACCTGGGGAGCTGCCAGATTTCTCTGACTTGGTTTATATGAAGGAGAAGCCCTAGCCACAGGAGTGTTACCCTCCATCACTCAGAGTTCAAAGGTCAGTGCTTGGACCTGGTCCCCCCACCCCTGGTCCCTGACCTCCTGTGGGCCCCTAGATCCCTGACCCATTGTTATGAAGGGGAAGAGAGGGTATTTATTTTTATCCATAGCAACAGAATTGTGTTGTTACAGCATTTGACAAAATACTTTCGTGTGCATCGTCACAACTCATCTCAAGGACCGTTTTGGGGGTTGGGTTTTAGGTTTTATCATTTTTCCCACTTAGAGCTGAGGAGTCTGAGGCTCCAGGTAGTGAAGTGACTTATCCAAATTCACACCATGAGCAATACCAGGTAGCTTTTTTGTTTTGTTTTGAAATGAGTTTTCAAGTAGCCCAGGCTACTTCTGATCCTCCTATCTTCATCTCTAGAATGCTGGGATCACAGGCATGAGCCAACCCTGTCTATTTAGTGCAGTCCAGTGCTGCGGGGTGGAACCCAGACCCTTGAGTGTATTAAGCAAGCCCTCCACCAACTGAGCTGCATTTTTACCCCAACAGGTGACTTTTATTGAGAAAGATGTGCATGTTACAGGCAGCTCTTGTTACTTCACACAATGATTATATATTTAATTCTGTGAAATGGTCCCTTCTAGTTTTATAAATGCAGGTGGGGTACAGGCCAGCAGCCCTGCAGCATGGGCGTGAAGGGGTTAAGCAGGGGGGGAGGCGGGGAGGGGGGCAGCTGGGATGCTGTCAATGGCAGGAAACCTGGCCTGCCAGGAGGAGGATGGGGCCTAGTGGTGTCTCACTGAGGCCACCCCCATCCTTTCGCCCTTATCCGGGCTGGGTAGAGGGACTGGCAGGGGGCCCCTTCACAGCTGTGGTCTGCGGATCAAGGATAGATGCTAGACTACTGGAAGGGGAACCCAGGAGGTGACAGGTGACCTGGGGGGGGTCATCCTGGCTGGATGTCTTGTTTTCCATACTTGTGAAATGAGCCTGGCTTCCTCTTAGTACCTAGTCAGAGACCAGAAACTTCGGGAATCCTAGTCCGAGGGAGGTGCCATAGCTCTGCTCTTGGGGATCTTCAGCTGGTGGAGGTGAGGGTCTGAGAGCCTTGCCCTCAGGGGTTCCTAGCTGAAGTGTCAATGCCCCATGCCAGGGTGGCAGTGGACAAAGTGTTCAGAGACAGACAGAGACCCAGGAACCCTCAGCCTGAGCAGGAGCACAGAGGCGAGGGCGCATGGCGTGGGCACTAGGTGAGGGATCCTGAAAGAGCTAGAGGGGGAGGGCAAGGGGGACAAAGAGTGGAAGGATGAGAGGTCATACATCTGTCTGTCCTAAGAGGATGGGGCCCACATCCCTCTGCCCGGCTGCCTTCACGTCTCAGAGGCTCCCAGCAAGGGTCAGATCCTCTCTCTTTCTGGCCATGGGTCCCCAGGGAGACTTTTAAAGTGGCTCCTTCCGGCCCACTAGCCAGGACCTGGGGGAGGGGAAGCCAAGTCTGAGGGCTGTTTCCTTCCTATGTCCGACCTCAGACCTCATTCCCGGAACACCTGAGCTGGGAATGGGCCTGAGTCAGAGCGGCTCCTCTCTGGAGAGGGTTGACGGACTGGGGACTGGGAATAGCTCTGACCAGTGCTGGGAATAGAGAGATAGGGTCCGAGAAGCCTTCAAATCTGACTTCAGACCTCCTGCCTGCAGGGTCACAGGGGAGACTCTTCTCCCCAGCCAGGCCATAGCCTCCAAGCTTTAGCCCTGCCTTGATTCAGTTCTGGCTCTCCACTCCTTTTCTGCTCGGCCGCCAACAAAAACAACCTGTATGGGCAGCCCATTGTGTCGAATGTGGACTCTCCTCCGCCAGTCACCCTTGGACCTGGACCTGCGGCCTATACCTTTTCTCCCTGCCACCACCCCCCTTTCCCTGTGCTGTGGGGTCAGCAGAGGGGAGGTCACATACTCTTAAGGGACTCATCAGGAGGGTGGCAGCAGAGGGGGAGCGGGGGACCACAGAGAAAGACTGACCAGCGCTGTTGCAAGAGAAATGGACAAAGCAGATGACCGGGCTGGGGCAGGGGCGATTTGTTCTGCCTGGATGGGGTGGGGATCTTCAAAGAGGGGATTTGAGCAGGGCCTGCAAGGGATTGTTGTTTGGGCTGGGGGGTAAAGGAGCCCTGAGAGCCTTGGGTCAGAGGACAGCAGGAGCTGGGGTCTCAGGGAGGGCAAGAGGCTTAGAGAGAAGGTAGGGTGCAGAGGATGCAGTGTTGAGAGGGAGCCCGGTTTGCGCCAAGGCAGGGACTCTGACCTGGAAGGAGACCCCTCCACGGGCTGGTGGCCTTCCTCAGTTCCTGAGGGCAGAGCCAAAGCTTCTCTCTAATTTGTGGCTTTCCATTTGGGGAAAGAATCTCAGCCACAACAATAGCCTGGCCCTGGCGCCTGCTCCTCAGAGGGGTGTGGCTCCGAGCAGGGCCTGGGCCCCATGACCCACAGTAGGGATAGTACAGAGAGAGATGCACTGAACATTTGTTCCCTAAGAACCTACACAGCTAGTGAGCAATGTGTGTAAGACAGATAAGATATCTGCTCTTTTAGTGCAGGCCACCTAGTTAGAATAGCAAAACCAGCCACAACCTATGAGTGTTTCCGGTGCTCGGTACCATACAAAGTGCTTTATACTCAGTACCTCCCTTACTTAACAAACTCTTGTGTAAAATAGGAATTATTATTATCATCCTAACTTCTTTGTTGCCTCACACACACAGTATATTAGTTTCAATACATATCTCACTGCTGCAACAAAATATCTTACAAAATCAATTTAAGGGGGGAAAAATGTTTATTCTGTCATCCAGGCAGGAAAAGCATGGTACCAGGAGCAGGAAGCGGTTGAACACACTGCAGCCACAGGCAGGAAGCAGAGAGAGGGAAGCTGCTGCTCAGGGCCCCCTGTCTCCTGTTTATTCAGTCCAGGACCCCCACCTATGAATGATGCTACCCATAGTTAAAGTGCATCTTCCTGCTTCCATTAACTTAGTAGAGATAATCCCTCACTGACATGCCCAGAGGCTCCTCTCCTAGGTGACTCTGGACCCTGTCAAGCTGACGGTAGGAACAAAAGCTGGTTGTTTGTTTATATATGCACATGTATGTGTGATACTGCCTGGCTAGCTCTAGGACTCACAGGGAGAGGAAGGAGTTCAGAACCTGCCTTTTCTCTTACTCCAGTGTCTTTATCACTTTGTCAGCCAGAGGCCTCCTCTCTCATGAGGGTATTTAGATGCAGCCATGTTTTTTTGTTATGTTTTTAAAGAATTATTATGTATACAGCATTCTATCTGCATATATGTCTGCAGGCCAGAAGAGGACACCAGATCTCATTATGGATGGTTGTGAGCCACCATGTGGTTGCTGGGAATTGAAGTCAGGACCTCTGGAAGAGCAGCCAGTGTTCTTAACCTCTGAGCCATCTTTCCAGCCCAGCAGCCATAGTCTTAAAGGCCCTTGAGTGACAAGAGAATATGCAGTTGTGTTTTTTTCTGGAGTTGTTCAGGTCCTAACATTGATGGTGGGTTTTTTTTGTTTGTTTGTTTGTTTGTTTAATTTTGAGACAGGGTCTCACTATGTAATCTGGCTGGCCTGGAACTTGCCATGTAGACTAGGCTGACCTCAAACTCACAAAGATCTTCCTGCTCCTGCCTCCCGAGTG